ACCCTGAAGAAAAAAGAGATATGAGGAGACACATTAACCTAAATACTAATAGAAATTTACCAATTAAAAAAAAAAAAATAGGAAGTTTCTATGGTTAATAGCAGATCTGCTATACGACAAAAAGCAAATCTAGTAGGGTGAAGTGAATACAGTTCTATCTCAGTCACAGAGATGCATGCGTGTGAAGAATATAATCTTCCTTAATCTCCTCATGTGGTACCATTAATCACCCACCTGTGGGCTCTGGAAGACTGTTACAAAGATAACAACAGAAACAATAGCAAGTTAGCACAATACAATAAATGCCACATTGACATTTAGTACTGTTTTAAGTTAACCTCAGAGCTTTCGGCTTAAAGGCAACAAAAAATACACCTTTGTAGCTAACCTATTTAGGCATATTCAACATGTTAAAACATAGGAACAGATGAATGCAGCTGATGGCTTATGACATCACTAAGCCACCCAAATGGGAACTTTCACTGGGGTTCCTCAGTGGGAGCAGGGATGGAGGAATGCTGCTGGAATGCAGGTGGTCATGGTGCAGTCCCACAAGCCTGTCTCTGTCAGAAGCACAGGAACTGCCACCTGCAGAAGTGTGCTGAGACTCCACCACCGCCCAGAGCACCAAATGATGGATGGCATCATCAGGTGAACTGCTTGCCTCCATTCTCAAGAGCTACTGCTGTGTGGATCTGGTGTTACTGTGCATTATTTCTCTCTGTGCTTGCTTGTATTTCAAGACCTTCCAGTTTGCGTGGAGACAAATCCACACTCAAGAACAAACAAAAAAACTCTCTGGGACATACTACCAGAGATAAAACCCACAAGGTTGATAGACCTTAGTGCACTTCTGGACATACTGCTTCTTGTGGCTTTGAAACACCAATTTCCCAACCCACAGAATCACAGAATGGCCAGAGTTGGAAGGGACCTCAAGGATCATGAATCTCCAACTCCCCTGCCACATGCAGGCCTCCAACCTCCACACTGAATACTAGGCCAGGCTGCCCAGGGCCCCATCCAGTCTGGCCTTGAACACCTCCAGGGATGGGGCATCCACAACCTCTCTGGGGACCCAGGGGCCCCTTGGGTCTTGACATTTGTCCTTGCCACAGCATCAAGAAATCAGTCTTAAAATCATCTCCAAGTCAGCTGTCAAAGACTGAATTACGTTTACAGAAAGCTCTGAAATTTGGGATACTTACATGAAGAATTGCAGTGAAGGAGGAGGTACCAAGAAGCAGTGAGAGGTGCCAAGGCTGAGCAGGCTGCCTTGGGAAAGGGTTGGTTCCAGGAGGGATCCCGCTCTTCTGCTTTTCCCCCTGGAGCATCTCTCACACCGGGCTCAGACCCCAAGGCTGGAAACCAAACAGCCACGTGCCAAACATGTACCCACCACAGCAAAGACACGATTCCTGACATTCTCTGAGGAAAAAGAATGCCATTTTGGGAACTCTCTAGAAAAACTGGGGAAACTGTGGTTCAAAAGTAGGAATGGATCATTCACAAAGTAGAAAACAGCAGGGAAGTCAATGAAATACAGCACTCAACTCAAAGAGCCGTCAGACTCGAGAGCTGGGTCAGGTGCCAGATGAAAGAATTGTTAAAAAAAAAAAAAAAAGTTTTATGTAATTTTCACTTTTAAGTTCTTCTTTGTATTGCTGGTATTAAAAAAAGAAAATTGTATCTCATCAAATTTATGAAGTTTCTGATTCTCAGTTACAAGGCTGACACAGTTTAAATATATGACAACAATCATATACTGAAATACTTCTGCCTCAACCTTGTTCAAGAAATTGCAGTAAAGGTGGAACTGTGCAGATGTACTAATGGTATAAAATAATGCCAGCAAGCAGCTCTCAACACTAGGCCTGTCTGAGCAGGGAGCTCTGTGGGCTCAGCTGGTGGGTAGGTTTAGTCCACCCACTCTTCTACACATATCAGAAATGATTCTACTAGAACAAATTACTGTCCCCTGTTCTTCCTTAAATAAATCTCTTTAGTGAACGTGGAGGTGCTCCCTCAGCAGGATGGGGTAGAAATTGGGAACACCATGGGGCGATAGGGAGGGAGCCTGCTCATTAATTACTGCCACGTACAAAACAGACTTGGCTTGAGGAAGATTAATTTAATTTATTGCCAATTAATAACAAAGTAGGACAGTGAAAACAATAACAACAAAAAACCAACAAACTGATGACACCTTCAGCCCACTTTCCATTTTCACTCAGCTTCAGCCTCAGTTCTACTGTTTCCTCCCTGCAAGCAGTGCAGGGGATCAGGGAAGCAGGGCTGCAGTCAGTCCAGGCCACTCCCAGGCTGCAGCTCTCCAAACTCTGCTCCAGCACAGCCCCTAACACAGGGCCCACCCTTCAGGAGCACACTGTTCCAGCACACGTCCCCATGAGTGGCAGCTCCCCCAGCCCTCCTGTCCCACCATGGGCCCCTCTCCACAGGCTGCAGCCGGCCCAGGGTGCTTCCGCAGGGATGTATCCACAGGCTGTGCCTCCTTCAGGCCTCATCCTGCTGCACTGCAGGCTCCTCCATGGCAGCATGTGGAGATCTGCCCCGTGCAGTGCCCATGGGCTGCAGGGAGGTAGATCTACCCAGATCCCAACTGTCAGCCTCTTTCTTCCTCTACTTCTAAGAAGCACCTTAGGTCTGTGGATCTAAAAAGAGATCTTTCAGCCTCCAGCACTGAAATTTGAAACCACTTGAAAAGAAGATGCAGGGAAACGCATTATCAAAAACATTTTTATTTACAATTTCAGAAATCATCATCCAAATCATTATCCTCAATTTTCTGCAGTGGCCGCTTAACACCAATGATTAAATCAATATTGAGAAGCTCTGTAACACAATGAAGTACTGAAGTTACCAGCTGGTATTTGCAATAAACTGACTCCAAGCCTTTCTCATTCACAGGCAGGGGCTGATTCTTCCTGAGTGCTTCTGTGGTTTCAAGATAAAACTTGGTAAAGCCGTTCCGTTCCGTTCCATATAAGGCCTTTGGAATACTTAACAAAGCATCAGCAACTACATTAGATATGACAGTAACAGCTGACTGCTGAACCTGCTTTGCATACTGCCGAATATAATAATGTAACAGGATTTCAAAGTAACCTCCTACCGGCAGAACTGATCCTGCTTCTAGGATGGAGCAGGGACAACTCTGTGTAACACCACAGCCAGCCTTCTCTGGGCCTTTATCGACACCTAGGTGCTCACACAGGGTAGCGGTGCTGACTACAGCGGTGCTGTAATTCCTGTGACTGCACACTGCTGGGTGCTTTCGGTGGCTTTCGTTTATCCCATCTGCACGCTCACACACTGTGTGTGTCCCTGCCGAGTCAGTCCCATCGGTGCAGACGTTCAGCTCCTTGCTTTGTGGGCCAGGAGCTGAGGCCGGTGACATACAATCAGGATGTTCGCTTTCCTGCAAAGCAAGATCTGAACTTTGTGCTGTTGTTTCATCCCTGCAGCCTCCCAACTGATGCTCAGAAACCTGACTGCTGCTACAAGCAATACTTTCTGTCGCGACCTGCGTTTCAGTAGCTGGAGAATACCTGCTCACAACACCTGAGGCACCATTCTGGCTCTCAGCTCTGCACTCCTGACCCACCTCTCTGAAGAGCTGCAGCAGCATGGTGAAGGCCCCGTGCAGAGCAGCAGCATGCTGCTCGTTAACGGCATCGACGGGAGCGCACAGAACCAGGCAGTGGGGCTGGAAGGCGCCCGCGCTGCTGAAGCCGATGTGCGCGTAGCGCTGGGAGCCCAGCAGCAGGGGCTGGCAGAAGGTCACCACTGCAGCCTCTGCGATCTCCCTCTGCACGCTATCACCGGCAGGGTCATAGGGCGAGATTCCTGTGATTTCAGAGATAAGGGCCACTTCTTCCGACGACAAACACTCCACCACGGACACGCCGTGTAATTTCGCGTAGTAGATAACCTCCTCGTGCTGCTTCACGCCGGACAGCAGCAGCCTCACGCCGCTGCTCCGCAGGCGCTCCATCACGGCCTCCGTTCTCCCGCCGCACCAGCGCAGCGCGGCCCGGTGCTGCCGCTCGGAGCGCACCGCGCACTCCACGCCGGGCGCCGCGAGCACGGGCCGCAGGCAGCGGGTGACCAGCACGGCGCGCAGCCGGCCGCCGGCCGGACAGTAGGCGGCGAAGTCCCTGCGGAGCAGGACGCCGGGCAGGACCCTGGAGCGGGCGAGGGGCAGCCCGGCGGCGGCGGCGTGCAGCTGCGCGAAGCGGTCGCAGAGGAGGCGCAGGGCGGGCGGGCGGCGGGCCCCGCAGCGGGCGCACAGCTCGCAGCCCAGCAGCGCCACGGCGCGCCGCTCGCCCGGCCCCAGCCTGCCCCGCAGATAAGCCTCCAGCAGCGCCTCCAGCGCCGCCGCCTCCAGCTCCGCCCCCGGCCCGCCCGCGGGGAAGGCGCAGCGGAGGTGCGGCCGCAGGCCCCGCGCCACGGCGCGCTCCAGCACCCGGCGCTCGAAGGCCGGCAGCGCCCGCGCCGCCCGCCGCGGGGAGCCGTCGCGCATCGCGCCCAGCACGGCGGCCAGCAGCAGCACGAACGTCTTGGCGCCGTCCCCCGTCGCGCTTCGGTGGCGGCAGGCGCAGGCCGCCATCGCCCTGCGGGCACACGGAGCGTTAGGCGCCGCCCCGCCCGCCCGGCCCCCCCCACCGCACCTCGGCCCGGCCCTCCCGCCGCCGTACCTGGCCGTGGGCGGCTGCAGGCTGAGCGCCTCCAGCATGCGCAGCCCGTCCCGCGTCAGCAGCGCCCGGCCGTCGGGCCGCACCAGCAGCGCCCGCCCGCCCCGCGGCCCCAGCGCGCCGCGCACCGCGCCCGCCAGCGCCGCCGCCTCCTGCTGCAGCCCGGGCCGCGCCGCCATGGCAACCGCCCGCTGAGGGGAGAGGGCGCGTGCGTCGTGAGGCGAGGCCGAGCGGCGAGAGCCCGCCTCCCTGCCCGCCCTCCCCCAAGAAATGCTGTCAAGGCTGTATTTTCCGTTTTTTATTTGTAACCGGAGGGTCGGACGCAGCAGGGGAGCTAGTTTCAAACACGCAAGCCTTCAGGAAAGGGCGGGTGTTACATATGGCACAAACTTGACGAACCGTGTCTGGGAACAGCAAGAAACCCCTCGGGAAGGCACTGTTTACAAAGCTTCCATCCGCTCAGTTTTCAGCGACTGGAGGGTACCCTTAAAAACCAATAAAACTTACAGATGTACAGAAGAACCCCTGTTATCCGTTATTTACATATACAGCGGTGAAGTAACAGCCTCTTAAGAAAACACACTACACATCGAACCAGAGTCTGCTCCATAAACACCAGTCTGGCAAAAAAAAAAAAAATAATTAAAAAACCCATAAAAAATAAAGGAAATCCCAAAGGCACAGGAGGGTGGCAAACAAAGAGGAAAGAAAGAGAAAACACCATTTGGAAGGAAGACCTATAAGACAATTTCTTGACAAGGTTAAACTGGGGGGGAAAGCAGGCTTTGCCCTCAGCAAGCAATGCCTTGTCTTTAAAAGACATCCACCTGTGAAATGCACGACATCTGCTGCTGAAACAGTGCCCTGTGACATCTCACATTTGCTCTTTTAACCTAGGTCACGGGCACCTAGCTAGGCAATCTGTACCTAATGGCAAATTAAAGGCTTAGAGTGCATTTGAAAACAAAACAATAAAACCACGTGGCAACAATTTCTGACGGTATTTCCTGTACAAGAAAAAACAACCACCCCCTCGAGATCTTTAAAACAAATGTGAAAACAAAGAAGTGCTGTTTAATCATAAAAACTGGGAAGCTGCAGCTCTCACACATCTGCAAGCTGTACAGCCCGTTCCGTAACTCACACAGAGCTCAGCATTACATACTTCATATTCAAGATCAGCCACACGTCATGGGTAAGCAGACAATTGTGATGTGCCACAGAAAAGCCCTCACACACCAGGCCCTGGGCAGCTGTACTGCAAGCATCAGGCAGGAAACGATGCCGTCCTGTTCACACTGGGGAACATCATCCAGCAAAATGCTGGACTCTGATGTACTTTCTAGAAATTTAAGAAATCCAGTCGTTCTATCAAGCAGAATCTGCAGTTTTACTTTTTAAAAGTTTCATCACATATCCTTTACTTTCCTGGACCACGACTAAGACCACTTTTACAACAGAAGTAACCTCTAAAAATAAGTTGAAAAGAAACATAAGCATAGGCATTTTGGCTCACTCCGTTCAACTCTGACTTGCCTTGAGCTGAACCTGAATTTCAGATATGGAACATTTGTTTAGTCTGATGTTGTCCGACACTGTGCTGCCAGCCAGATAGCTGGGTCAAATCCATGAACAGTGAATGTAAAAATACATCCAGTCTGTGTTAGTGACTGATCTTAAATAGAAGGATTAAAATCAAAATAAAAGAGCAGAAGGACATTTCCATTTACAAGGCAGATAAAAAGCTTGTAACTGTCAGTCAAGAGTTTTCAGCACCACAAATTTAGCAGAGCTATTTTAGGGGATTAAAGTTATTGCTCAAATTCTGATTTTATTTTTACCTCACTCACTTCCTTTTATATTACTCCCACACATGGAGTATGCATAGGAACCTGTAATGGATCGTTATGACAGATGAAGCTTTGACATTTGAGCACTGTAACAAATGGCCCAATTCCATGCCGAGTAGATTAAATTAATACTATAGTATTCTGCTTTTTTTAAGTCATTTTATATATGGCAAACAACTTCAGTTTCTGTTACAGACTTAACTTAGGGACGCAAAACCTAACGGTAAGGAACTTCCTATATTCTCAAATTCCACCTCATCAGTTGTAGACAAATAGAGTCCACATTCCAAAAACTGATTCCAGAACAAGCTATGCTAGTACAAAGCTGTAAGAAATAAGCTGAAGTGACTGCTTAAGCAATGAACTTTCACACAGCTGAGATCCAAAGAAGGGGTAAGATGAAATAGAAAGTGAAGTGCTGTGAAGATGTCAGCCATGGGAACAAATGAACTTGACTAAGTAAATAGAATTTTCACCAAATGCTGAACAAGACTGATGCAGAACAAAATGTGAGATCACTTGAAGAGTTATTGAGGCTGCCCAAGGCCATGGCAGCTCTAAACTTTCCATTTGATTTCTGAGAGGACCCACTGAAAACAAACTTGGCTATACTTTGTGTCTCCCGTCTTCCTGCTGTCTTATCTGGGTTGCTGAAAGTAGCTTTACAACACTACGGCTACTTTTTGACTTGATACATGTACATGGAAAGGCTTGATTGCCAGAAGGAATTCACCAGATAAACATTGGTACCACTTTTTCAGCTGAAATTCTGTATGTTCTGTACATGCATGCTGTTCTTCCAACAAAATGCTACAAACCTGGTTTTAACTTGAAATTTAAAGTTCACATAAATTGGTATGGCTGCAGATAATGAATAGGTGCACTGAATATTCAGTTAGGTAGTATATATACACCATGAATGTAACAAACAGCATTTCACTATCGTTTGTTCTTATTTTTGTTTTGATAGCCATCCCACCATTTTTGAAGCCATTTCCCTTGTAAACACACATTCTCATTTGCAGATGATCTGCTGACTGGCCAAATTATGTTCCACACAGTTTCTCCTTTGGAAAGCTCAACTCATGCTATATACTAAGTGTAACTTTTTCATCTTCACATTTTGTTTCTGAAATAAGAAAGAGTCCTGGCATCGGTAGTCTGCCTTCTTACTGAGACGCAGTCATACTCCAATATAAATTCAGGACTTTCAGATTTATCAAGACTTAAAAAACAAACCCTAAAACCTCAGCATTTGCAGTTCATGAGTGTGAGTGTACAAACACAGTACTTTTCCAGGTGCTGCGCTATTAAAAACGTGCTCTGTACAGTAGATGCAGGAATGTTTTTGTGAAAAACCTCAAGTTTTAAAACTATAAAATAATTTTTTTTTAAAAAAAAGATTGGCTTATAAGCCACTGCAGTAATTCAGGACAAAAACTGTCACACCTCCAAAACAAATCAGGGACATAAATTGCAGAATTCCCAGAGACTTCAGCTTTGTACTTGCCAGTTCCTAACAGTCATGACCTTTGTATAATAATGTATTAATTTGACCTTAAATAAAAGTTCACATCCAAACACCCAACACCATTTAAAAAAAAACAAAAAACAAAAAACAAAAATAAACAAAAACAAAAACAAAAAAAAAATTGGTAAGCCTGGTTGCTTTAAAAGTTACTTTGTTACAAAAATTGTAAGTTTAAATGTAACAAAGTCTGCTTGTTTATTACACTACCAAAACAGGAATCAGGTTCAACCTACAGTGCCTGACCTCTGAATTTCGAATTTATCTATTCTGTGGTGAAGATTCATCAGTACAGCGTGTGACGTAATATAAAACACAAGGCTGATGCTGTATGTCTGAGACAGAGGCACACACCAGGAGCAAGAGTGTACTGGCACTTACACGATTCTTACTTCAACTGGGTAGACGGGAGGATGATTCTGAACCACGGACTCTGAGGCAAAAAATTCTGCAAGTTGTTGCTACAAGGCTCTTTTAGATAATATTGCATCATTTAAAGTCCAACTTAAAATATGGTCCCCGGTAAGAGTTTGATCATTCCAGTTCAGAAAGGCTCTTGTTCACACTTCCTATTTGAACAAGAAATTGATAATAAGCTGTAGCAGAACCAAGAGTAAAATGAAGATATAGTGCTTCAGCTGCAAAAACTGGTTGTCCACAGGTGGGGAATTAGAAGTGACTCGATTTCGTAGAGCCATTATGTCCCTGTAAGACACAGAATAATCTCTCATAAATCACCATTCAGACAATCTGACATTTCTAGTTTGTTGGGGCTCCCCACAGAACACAAGCTTTGAGGAAAATTATGTAATATTGATAAGTAATTAACACTTAGAAGGATAGTTGACCTAACTTTCCCAGTTCTTCAAAGACATCATGGCATTAAAAGGAGAAAGATATACACAAGCCTCCAAAACAGCCAGGCAATCAGTATTCTCTTAGTCATTTTAGACCATTTTATATTTAGTACTACCTCTTAATGTCTTCTTGTGTTTCCTTTATAGATTCAATGGCACTCTGCAGTTCACCAAGGTCTGCCCCCTTTTTCCTTATTCTTGTATTATGCTTCATAAGTTGCGCTACAAAAATAGAAAAGATGGGTGTAATTCACAGAAGGAAGTCCCTAATCCAAAATGGAACAAAGTAGTAAAGACAAGCTTGCAAAACCAAGGAGGAAGTTTTCTAAGTGAGTTTCTATTGAAAACTAAAGTTTTACTACAAAGTTACTGCAGCACAGAAGGAAAGCAAGTTAAGCTTTAAGAGTATCTTAAAATTCTCAAGGTATTGTTTAATTTTTGCAGACAGTCTCAACAACAAAAATCTGTTTCCACATACTCAATAGAGACACCAGAACATGCTTCATACTGAAGTGCTATCTAAAATATGTCTTACTTTGTAATGAAAACATTTTGAAATAATAATAATATGTGTGACTAAAGAATTCTGCTTAAGTAAATTTCTTAGGTTTGAATGTAAACATATCTTCTCCTACCTTCACTTCCAGAGGAATCCTGATTATCAGGCTCAGGGGATGAGAAACCACACTCCCCTTTTTTCTGGCTGGTTGTTTTTCGCTTGATTTTTGGAACGCTAACCTACAATTGAAAACCATATGAATTACTTCCACAGCACCAGAACTGTAGCAAAGCAGCACATACTGTCAGTAACAGTTAAAAGCATAATATCTCACAGAATTCCAAATCAAGATTTTTGACATAAAAGCAATCCAAAGTTTGTGCACCTTCCCATTTAAGGGAGAACTGTGTTAAACTGCTGAACTCAAGTTGGCATTATTTTATATTCTCAGTCAATTAAGTCATCTCTACCGCCCAGGATGCATCACAGAAGTGAAAGACCATGGACTGGGTAATCTACATTTTCACAAGGTACCAATGGTATTCTTTAACCCTCCCCATGCTTTGAGGACCTTCATACACATAACACAATAAACATGAATCCCTGCAGCTTGCTGCACCTTTAAACAAAACTAGAACATACCATTGGTGTCCGATGCCGAACTTTTGTTTGGATTGTGCCATCTTTTTCAAACTGAATCATATCATTCAAAGGGTCCCATGGCCTGGTACTAGACAAAATGAATACAAATGATTAATATCATAGAATTTAAATAACATTTTATTGCTCAGAAACTATTCCGTATGTACAGGCTAACAATCTTTCTCCCTGTGTAGAAGTCAGACACTGAAAAAGTGATCCAAATGTCCACCTGTAGCCTGAAAAGCCATGAGATCCAGTTGCCTCAGAACTACTTTCATTCCAAAGTGGCTGATGGTAACCTGCAATGGTTTCAAGAGGCAGTAATGAGCAACATACAAATTGCTTGTTCAGATTTTTGAGTGTTTTTCCAAATACAAATTGACATAAAATGAAAAATATCAAGCAAAAGACATAGCTCATTAGAGAATGGTAAGTTGCCAAAGGTAAAGACAGACATTCCCATGAAGCACAGCCTATCCATGACAGAAACCTCAAGTCAGTTGCATGAAGATCATTATTAATCATTAATTAAAGATCATTAAAGCACAGCTTTAATGAGTGCAGATTAAGCATGGATTTTCTTTCATTCTTCTTGTGTCTTTTTAAAAACATTTGCAGCTGTTTTGGATGTTGTGAACATACACCTGCATTTACATCTGAGCTTAACGTGGCTTGATTTAAATGCTATCTAAGGCAACTGGATAAGAACAAGTCTTCCCTCTCCCAAAGGTCTCTCAAAACTACAATCCAGGTATCTAATTTAGACACCTTAACAAATGCTGCAGTTCACTGAATGCATTTTTCACAGTAGCATAAAATATTCTGCTCTTCATGCAGACCACGTGGTGAGGTGGCCTCACATTCATAAAAAGAATCAATAATTCCTTCCAATGACAACTGACACCACAGACTGCTTTCTAACATACAGTAACACTTCTGTGGCACACACTCAAATCATAAAACTTCATGGACACAAAATACAATGCATTCCAATCTGTGGAAGCATATAACCAGAAATAGGAAAAAAAAATAAAACAAAGTCCATTGAAATAAGTCCTTGAAACATAGTTTCCTGCTGTAGTAATCCCTGCCTTTTTAAAATTACATATAGTCACCTGCTATACCAATTCAGCTACAAAATTACACATTTTGGTTAAAACACATGAATTGGAGTATCAAGTAGCATTGCAAACTTCACCAGTTTGAACTCAGCTTTTGCTCTCGAAAGCACAGCAGGAGGCTCAGAGCCACTTCAACAAGCATTTTTGTTATAAGCATTCCAGCACTCACTCGGCGTATCTGTAGTGCCATTCTCCTGTGACTGAATCCTGATCGAACAGCTTGCACGTCCACTCTTCACCCTTAAGTTTCCTCTCTTTGGCACTCTTTCTCTGAGCTTCCTCCAGAACATACTTCTCTTGAGTAGCTTCTGTTTGGTCTTTATTATTTATTGCTTTAGTCACTTGTTGCCAAAGCCTGACAAACAAGCAATATCAAGAGTTAACAATCTGGTTACAAAAATAATTGAAAACATTTCTCTAATTATAGGCTTAGTAGAGGTCGTAAGGCTTCTAAGTAGTGAGCCTGTATTGAACAGCACTACTTTCTTGCTATAAAGGTCAGTATCAGCAAACACAGGAAGTAACAAAACCATCAGCTACTGGCTGGCTAATATTGTAATTTGAAGAAGATAACAAGTTCTATTTTGTCAGAATAATTATACGTGCTTCTAAAGAGCACTTACTTCTCTGACTCAAAGTCATCTTGCTCTTCAAACTTCACAGTGTATCTAGGTAATCTACGCTGCTTGATATCAGAAGTTGGGTTCCAGAACGTCTCCGAAACATCGGTCTTCTTGTCCCTAATAGTAACTTCACTGTCCTGTAACATACATAATTTAGTGATCCTAACTGTAATAACCACACAGAGTGCAAAAAATAATGCAAACTGAAAGAGTACTATTTTTATAAAAAAAATATTTCAGATTTGCAGACAAGAGTAATTACATATACTAATTTCAAAATTCAATTTCTGCATTCTGTGCTGGTTCTAACTCAGAATAGAGAGGAAATGGGACCACTGCTGTCAAACAACGATGCCAGCATCATCAGAAACTGAAACAAATGCGTTTCATCCTGGTGCCTCAACAATTCCTCCAAGTATTAATATGTATAGTAGAACATTTTACAAAGCTAACAGTATTCTTGTCAGGAACTACTCAAACATACTCAACAGTAACAGTACGTTGACTCTAAAGTTATTCTTGAGGACTGTTTAACTACAAAAGGACACTTCACCAAAGGTGGCGTTCACTCAACTCATGTTCTTTATGAGCCTTTTTTGTAAGTAGGTGCTATTTCCATCTCTTTTAACTCAGAATTTACTCAATACTCACTACTTACCCAGTGGCCCTCCAAAATAGCCAGAACTTCTTTGCCAAGCTTAATTTTCCCTGATATTTGATTAACACTGTCATTGTTACCTAAAAATGGCTGCAAAATAAAAAGAAATGCTTTCATATTTATTTTAATAACAAAAAATATTTGCACATATGTTGAGTGTTATGAAATAAAATGCATTTATGAAATTCAATGTAAACAGCCCTGAATGCTTTCAATATTACAACTTCTGCCTAATAATGCCATAACTAAATTGTTCTCTGTATTTTCTCAAAAGCTTTGCTGATCAAAATTATTAGGATTGGCTAAGAAATCTGAAGAGGGCAAATAATGTAAAAACATGATGATATGCAAGTTATATGACGATATCTTGACGGAAATTGCCATTCGCTATTACTAATCTCACCACTTTGCCAAGGACTCTGTTAATAGAGATTAACTCTTGCAAAAACAACAAGAAAAATGACAGCAAGAAATTTTCTTCAGCCTTTTTGATAGTCTACACATGTATCCCATGAGTTGAAGAGGCGAAAGTTCAATTGATATAGCTTCCTAACTTTTAATTTCCCCCTACAATCTTAGTTTCTCTCCACATGCACGCTTTTCCCTAATGACTGTTTAGCTTTAAATCAGTTTGTCTCAAAAACAGCAGGAACATTTTCAGAAGAGCCAGCCAATTATACATAATTGAGAAACCTTTGTTTAGTCTTTATATCTGGTGAGTGTTTCTATAGCAAAGACAGCTGCAAAAAATAGTACACATAACTGCTCATAATGCTGGACATTAAACTGATCTGAATGTTAGCTAAAAGCCTTCTGTTACCTTTGTTTGACGTGCCATGAACAACTTAATTTTCATGCAGGATAGAAGAGGGGAGCCTGAGTTTGAGTTCTTCTTCAAGAAGTTTAAAAAGACACTCAAAAGTTTTCAGAGAATGAAAAATCTCCATGGGATATATATACTCTCAGCAAGATAGAAAATACTTGAGTTGCTGATTAGATCACTAATCCCTGTTCTTGCACACTTTCTCAAACACATACAGATGCCACTGTTGGAAATGAGACAGATTGTTGCTTCCTCTTGTCACCTCTCCAGCTAAGTTGTTTGTAAGGTTCACACAACTGGCAATATGCAAGCACTACAATGGAAGCATCCTTATAAGCAGAGATTAAGACAGAGCTGTAAGTTTTGGTCAAGAATTTTGGACCCAGAAGAAAATATTAAATAAAAAAGGAATTGTATTGTCCCATGTTTCTTTCCTCTTCCTTTTTTTTTTTTTTTTCCTCTCATCACCAATTGCTAGATTGTATCTATGGTATGATAATATACACATTTTAATATTAGAATGCTCATTCTCATGTCCACTCATAGCATTTACTAACCTTTAGTTTAAATTCAATGGTTGCACTGTAGCCAGTTTTTTCACAGGTAATGTTGACCGTTCCCCCAAGCTCTAAGGTCATTGTGCCATAAAGAATTCCTGCAAGAAAGAGCCAACATGAGAATTTATAACTGGACAAGACAAAAAAATCCTCTTTTGTCCCCGTTCCCGGAGTAAACATATCTGTGCCAGAGAACAAAAAGAAAGCAATAGCTCTGCTTATTTTCCTTTCACATGACCTTTCCTAACCATGAGTGTGATCTTTCTGCCCAATAAGATAACCCAAACAGAAAGAAAAACATCCAAATGAATTACTTAAGCAGGAAATATGATCTATCAATAGGAAAACAACTTCACTCAAACAGATACAGTAGGCACAGTAAAGACAATTGTACAACCAATACATGACAACACTGATCACCTCTCCAAAGATTTTTGGAACAAAAAGGTTGGCAACTTGTAATATATTTCCCACAATCAGTCTTTCCCCTGCAATCCAGCATTTGAAACACTGCGTGTATTTTACACATAATGGATGTCTGTGGAAATATGTTTTCCAGCATGTACATTTTCCTTCCCTGCTTTCCTTTCTCTCACTGTATCAGTATCACTAGTCATTCCAGCTCTTGTTCCTGTTTGTTTTTTATGTATGTATACATGTTAGGTACTTATTACTTGTTAAGCATTATTTCTGTCACCAAAGTCATATAAAGGTAACATAAAATCTGACAATATTAAAAATATCCACCCACCGAAAAAAAGGAAAGAAGAGCCTACCAAACTCATGTCAAGTTATATAATTCTGCTAACTCATCTACTATGCATCTGTGTCTTACACTTGTTGACTACAAGAGTTCTGAAATAGAATTTTGGCAGAAAATATGGAGGCAAAAATCCCAGCAATGCTGCAATGTATTTTGTAAAACTACCAGCCCTTCAGAAAGGAACTACTGACTATTTTCCCTGTAGTGAAACTAAAGAAAAAAAGTCATGATTTACACCCAAACTACATGAGATGCAGAGACTACACTATTATATTTCCAATAGGAAAATACTGGAGATGCTCCAAAGTATTCTCCAGAAAGGAAAGCAACTCAAACAATAAATTACCGTCATGTAATGATAGATAGCTGTATAAACACTTTTAATATTTATGAAAAAAAAATCTTCTGCTGTGCCAAAGCCAGATGATTACTTAAATAATACTTCTTATCTTGGTAAAGTATATGGGAGCCTAGAACCTCCAATGCTGCCTGCGTTCAAAGAAATTTACTCAGATGACAAACTTAAATTCAACAACAGTATATTTAGAATAATGAACTCTACCTTTACAGTGAGCATATGGCATAGTCATTACATAATCTTCTCCTCTATTTAGGAATGTTAGCCGTCCTTCTCCATCTAGTATGGCAGATAATGAATTCCCTGAAATTCAAACACAGAGAAACACACTTCACACCCTGCAAGACAACAGTCAGTGTTTCCAAATAACCAAAAAACAGAATTAAGATTATCATATTTGGCACTGAAATCTATCCTGCCTAGTGAAGCCACTATAATCACAGCATCTCCAAACAAAAATTAAAGTGTACTGTAAAAGAGAAATTAAAATGTGAAGACCAGCAGTGAAAACTTTGTCAGGCAAGTATAATATAATGATCCAAACCCTGATTCTTCTAAAAGCCTTTTTTCATCATCAAAACACAGCCCACTTGCACTGATTTTACACTCCTCAATAAAAGCACAGCCAAAAAAAACCCCAACCCCCTCTTAGCTCCCAAAATATTACTTACCATAGAATTTTGATTTGGCCAGAATGCTACCACTAAGGCAAAAACCGTCCTTGCGGTTGCTAACATAGAAGGCAGATATTGGGGGATGATGGGATACCTATTGAAAAAACATGCAACGTATTATAAACCTTGATCTAATAAAGACAATGCAAAACTCATGTTACACAGAACAGAATACAATTAATATATGAGATCATAGAATCATAGAATATCCCTTGTTAGAAGGAACCCGCTGAGATCTAGTCCAGCTCCTGGCTCCACAAAGGACCACCCAAAATTCAAACTATGTCTGACAGCCTTGTCCAAACACAACCTTAATCTTCAGAGATAAAGATCAAGCAAACATTTTCACTGAATTACAAGAGTTAAGAAAACAAGTTTATCTGACTTTTACTAGAGGAAGACAGAACAAAAACACTGAAACACCTTTGTCTTTCTAAGAATATATCTAAGTTAGAGTTTTTAGAATACTACACATACATACAAATACATTTTCTAGCGTTGCCATATTGTTTAACTAGCACACACAAAAAAACCCAGCACATTTATTTTTCTTAAAAATATTCATGCTGGTTATGGCAGCTACCTGTTCTGCAATGTAAAAAGTCTTGCTGTTCGTCCTTGGATGGATCCACATGCAGCGGAAAGTCTCACCAAGTATAGGATTGTACGGCTTTTTTAGTCCCTGAATAGAAACAAAACAGACAGTAACCATGTAGTGCATGTAGAGAACTCACAGAATATTTTATCAGTCTGTCACTGAAAGACAGAGAAAGAAAAAAGAAGAAAGCAAGCATAACGCATATGCTAAAGCATAGTGCCTTGATTTCATCATTTCAATATTATGCTCAAGAAGCAGTAAGTAGTGTCATCTTTAAACATTATTTCCCATCAAGCTGTTTATAAAGAATATTGAGTTTAAAGCAAATTGAAGTAGTGGAAATTTTACTCCTCCAAATACATAATGCTATCACTGAAGAACAGTAAACAAAGTTATTGCTCAACTTTGTGTAAAAACGTTTAATTACATTTCTCCTTCAAGGGGAAAAAGTAGTTGTGCATAATATACTTTAAGCATGGATAGGGACCAAAAAGATCTATGATAAATTTATATAAATAGTGAAAACTTAACCTTCTTTAGAAAAAAATGCATAACAATATAATGAAACAAAAACTCCAGCACATTCCTGAGCTCTCAAACTAGACACAACTTCCAAAATAAAGACAAAATAATGAGTAAAAGGACACCTTTGGCTTTTTGTAGAATCCAGACAAATACCACTTTACTACTTTTTTCATGCGATTGTAAGCATTCTCTTCAAGAGCAGCTCTGTGAAACAAACAGAAAGCACAGACTGAATGTCAGTGTTGTTTCAATTATAAGATGCTACCAATTGTTATATTTATTCTATCTAGAAGCTGACTTAAACAGAAGTTTTGTGATTCTCAGTATTGTAAAACTTTCTGCCTGACTGCATGAAATTAAGCTTTCAGAATCCTCTGAACATGGAAATGAAACAAAACGAAAATCAGAAATGCTTATTCCAAAATTGAGTCTGGACTTTGAAACACTAAATCCTGCTAAACACACTCCCTCCCTCCCAGATTCCTTCTATTTAGGAAAGAGATTGCTTTAGAGAATTGGCATACTCATGCACAGTTGAATAATATCTCAATGTAAAGGTTTTAATTCATTAGCTTTCTTTGAGCAGGTAAATTAAATCTAAATCAAAACAGTATTTAATGATTTCTTAAAAAGGCTAACTCTTGCTATTCTACCATTATAAATATGCATCCAAAAGAAGAAAAATGAAAAAACAAACTAATCTTGTTAAATCTTTTAACCATTTCCTAAAATCCGCAACAGAAATGTTTGCAACACAATTGCTATTAAAGTATTAAGAGGGGACAGACATTGAGACATACCAGTGGAGCTCTTAGGCTGATAATTTTCAGAAAGCAAGAATATTTGACAACTGATATACTGTCAGACAAACATTCAGACTATGTATTCTATGATGCTGTTCACGTGAACCAGACCAAACAACGATTTCAGTATCTTACTGGTTTCTTATTTTAGCTTAAAAAATATAACGAAAGAAAACCAGTGATAGGATTGACTCACTCGGATAGGAAGTCTGCATGGTAGTAGTAATCAGATAGCTTGTCAAGGAAAGAACGAGGTTCCAAGATAAACGTAGGCAGTACAACCTTGGATAAGTCCATTCCTGGACGGACTTGCTTCAGAAGTGTCCAGATCAAACTTTTGTTTTCTTCAGACACTACTTCTGTCTGAGCAGCCTCCCCTGCCTAAGATAAATAAAAAACTGCTTACAGAAAGGATAAAGAAAATAAATGTTGAATTGTTTCAACACATTCTGATGATGCCATAACAACAGAAAATGTATACACAAAATGGAACACTCTGAGGAAGAGAAAGAAAATTTCTCTAAATATACTTAGAATACATATTTAATATATGACACTATATTTACTATTCAGCATTAAAAACTGCATTTCTTTTTATCAATCCTAAAACAGAAAACACCCCAATGTGCTCCTTTTGGTCAAAGAAAAGTGGAGATATTCTTCCTTACAGTTCCTGAAATGAAAAACAAGGTCTGAGAAATACCCCAAATAATCTTTAACAAAGAGATCATTCTCTTTAAATAAACTTGTCTCTTAGAAGTACAGAAGCGGCGCAGAGCACTGTACAGAAGCACTGTAGCAGAGCAGAACATGGATGGACACAATTTTTTTTCCTCAAGATTACTGAACACATGAAAGTCAATCCTGTAAAGCAGCTGTCAAATAAAGCACTTCCTCTAAAATATCAGCATTACATTCAGCAAAGCGACCCGTCCACTGCATGAAAAGTACTTTTACCTCTCCAAGTTCTTCATGACTTTGTTCTAAGTAAGTTGTTTCTTTGATATCAATTGGCTCTGGATCAACATAAGAGTCATCCTGTCGCTCTGATGTGTCGCTATCACTTTCTTCACTTTTCCCCAATCCATCGTTATCAGACTCATCATGTTCATGATCATTTTCCTTATCAGATTTATCAGAATACATATCTTGGTCTTTAAAGTGATGCCTTTCGATTTCACTGTCATTTAATCTACAAAAGATAAAAGCTAAATGAATCTTCAGCTTCACACTATGATTTCATGCTTCCAAACCAAAATCCTCGCAAAAAACCCCCACCATAATCCTTTGAATTAGGTGCCAATAAGAACCCTGGTCTAGCAGCAAAGTTGAACTTGCTTCAGTGGAAATACATAGGATGCAGTGTTGTCACTGAACTGTAAAATGCACCAAATTTACTTTGCATTTATGTTTAACTAGTATATTCTCTAACTAAGGCTAGTGAGCTGAGGAAGAGACTACATACCAAGGATGAAGAACAATAAAGCGAATTCCATAACTGAAGTGATACTTCACACAAGGCAATAATTTGTAGGTATAGAACACTATTTCCTCTCCCACGTTAAGGCAGTGTAAATAAATACTGATTCTAAACTTGTTATTAACTCCCCAACACGCTTCCTTCTCAAGGTTACACAGTTGTACACGTTCCCAGAGGGACCAAGGCATCCTCTGCTGCGACTTCACTGAGAAATGTAAAGGCTAGCTCGCAGCTGGAGTTAAAACTGCTTTCATGTTCTCTCTCGCTCCTGCCAACCCCTTTAAAACTATGTCTGTAGTTTTTGTTCTTAAACACACTGAATACTCTTACAATACTCTACATCCAAAGATCTACTTAATTAAACTATTACCCTTAATTAGACTTAACGGTTGTAGCTAATTGCTGTGACTGTAACCTCGGTCAGGTGATGATATTAAATTGTTATTCATGACTACAGATCTCCAGTTGAACTGTACACAGCAGTTTCACTGTTTCCTTAAGATTGCGGAAGGAGCAAAACTGTACCTGGACAAAATATTGTTTGGTCATCTGGATAGTGCCCTCAATCTGGACTGGAGGCAATAGTCTGCTTTTTCTCAGTGTTTCAGACTATCTAAGTCAGCAAGAAATGCATTTCTTCCTGCACAGGCCTGTACTTTTATCTCAACTACAGCAATATAGAAGTCCCACCCACCCAGAACAGACATGTGTGTGAGGGATTATTCAAAGACATTTATGTCAGTCTATAGGTATACTCAACTGGTGGAAGACAAGTGAGAAAAACTACGCAAAGCCCAAGCTTCAGACCAAATTATTTCAAACAAAGGACTAAATCTTTTATATCTTTCTAATGCACTCTGATGCCACAACTGGAAGTGTTGGAAAGCACATTCATTCACAATGCTAGTTTAATAATATATTTTCAGGAAAGACCACGCTGACAAAAATTTGGATGAGAGCATTTACTGAAATGAACAGAGTGACTCAAGGGCCCTCCAACATTTGACACCTGTTAGTAACAGGTGATTTCAATTTTTGTACTGTTGAATTTCATAGGCTGACGAAAGCACTATTGATTAATTTGATTATTCAAATCTGAGGCAAATTAAAACCATTTAAATAGCTTTGGTGTTATTTATACTTTGATCAAAGAAAAGCAACTTATATTCACATCTGCCTACTTTTGTAACATGAACTAAACTTTTCAAGTGAAACAAACAAGACCTACTTCATGATACAAAAAAAAAAACTTAAACTGTAACAGTTTAACTGAGTGCTTAAACTTACTGGTGTAATACTCAACTTTGAGTTCCTTGGGCCAAGCTGCCCTCTGTATCTGCTTTGCTCAAAAAATAAAGAATACATGTTTTTCATTTTATCCATGTATAAAAACACAGGGCAATTAAGTCTTTTAGAGAGAATTTGGAAGCGAATAGAATCGCAAAGAGAGATCCTCTCTTCAAAGAACTCCAATAAGTTTGGATAAGTTATTACTACACAGTTCTGCCAGAAAAGCAATCAAGTTTAGTAATTAATTTACTTACGGTAAGTTCTCTCCACTGTTTAAGTTGTTAGCACGAAGCAGGCCATAGAGAGAGACATGAGCACTGTCACTTGAAGAATTCAAGTCATGTTCTTTACCTTCTCTAATCATTGTACGTTTAAGTAGACTTGAACATTTCAAAGCCAGCTCCAAAGCATCCATCCAACACCTGCCTAAAGACAAGTTTATTATTAGACTAGAGATGCTGCTGGGTAGGGTGAGCAAGGTGAACGATTCATTTAGAGCATATTCCAGCATTTCTCCCTTAATGCCAATATGGCTCCACCAAGGCTCTACCTACTGAATTCCTCTAAAGGTGCTTGCAGACATACTCCACTTTTGAAGACTATGTAATTGCATCACTTGGCAGAATTTGCACATGTTATACAATTACAATATGGAAATTACAATATAAAAATCAGTTCAATATTAGACATTCCAATGCAGTTTTTCTAAAATTATGTGCTCTTTTCACTCCTCACTTATTCATTTTCCTGTATTTAATTCATTTTCCAATCTAATAGTTTTTCATAAGCAATAAAAAAAAGCATTTAAAACATAACAATAAAGATAGTACAAATTTATATTTAAGGGTGATTAAATAACCCAAAAATGTGACTTTTATTTCTCTTCTATACACTACATTTAAAAATAACTGTATAATTATTTGAAGGAAAATAAGAGTCTTAATTTTAAGGATTTCAAGGGTATGCTTAATTAATCCGTAGAAGGAAAGCAGCTACTAAGAAGGCTTAAGAGTGGTCTTAAATTTTGTTTTCGTTTTCTAACCTTCCAAGATGGTTGCATCAATATTAATTCCTATCTCCTCTAAGTGATGGCATTAAAAATGTGTATTTCGAGGGAATTTCTACTACAAGAACTCTGCAAAACTGCTGAATTTTATAATACACAAATACTTTCATTAGAAAGAGTCTACATTAGCATTTAACTAGTTGCAAAGAGCTCAATAACAATTTCTTCAACATTCTCCTTGAATAAACATGAAAAACTGTTAGTACCAACACAACTGAATGTCCTTAACTGAAGTTAAGGAAGAGCCCTTACAAGCATGGAACTGCAAACACAGGGCTGTAATAGACAGTAAGACAACTTAACCAATCTCTTTCTAATGACAGACTGCTCTCTTGGTGAAAAAATATTGAAGTGCCTATTTACCATCTGATTCTGAAGCGGCTCGGATGATCAAGTAACTGCTGGGTAGTGGCTGAGTTATAGAACCAACTGCTTCACCTTTTGGACCCTTGAAATACACAAAACAAGCATCATGTATTTTAATTCAGTTTTAGAGTTTACCATTCATGTAACAAGCAGACACACTGCTGGCTATTTACTGTCACTCAGCAACATCTAATGAAGATATGAATGGAAAGATGGACAGCCCTCTTTTACTGGATTTCTTCTTCAAAGACATCATTCTAAGTATAGCTCCCAATTTTTTTTTAAAGAGAACAGTCTTTGGGATTCAAACAATTTTTGGTGCTTTTATTTTGTTTTGGCTTTAGGGATTTTTTTGTTTGTTTGCTTTTGGTAAATCAGATTTGGTATAGTACCTTAGAAATGCTCTGCTGATGCCACTTAAAGCAAAAAGACAAAAGCATCAAAATGAATGCTAGGAGGTGTGTCACCCTCACCTTTTAAGGGACTGCAGATGGACATAGAGAGATCAGAAGGGATGAGTTATTTCTCTTCAAGTCTGCATTTCAGATGAATAGGTAAGTTTGAAACAAAATATATGCATGGGGGGTATTTTAAGAGGGTTGATTTACAACAAAAGCTGTCTATCTCCACAGACAGTTGAAGACTCCACATTTGTAAACAACTAACCCTTCCCCTCTGGTCCTCATCCCCTCTTGAGAGTAGATTCCTCTCAATTTCTAAGAAGATGCTATGGTTCAGAAACCCCAGAAAGACAGAAGAGCAAGCCAAACCCCTGGAGAGAGCAAGAGGCTCTCCTCAGTGATCCACTTCATGTTTTGTTTATGCAAGAACATGTTTGTTATTTCAACTGCATCCTACACTCCAGAACTGCATGGCATCTGCTGTCTTCAGAAGACATGAGTCAATCAATATCTAAACAAAATTGAGGTAACTGTACCCATTTGAACACTAGGTCTTGCAATAGGAACCCACTCTTCCTTTCTCCCTCCTTCTCTCTTCAACCTCTCTATCACCCAATAGTCAGTAAATCCCCCCCCAAAATTTTGGTGCCTAACTGCATTTAGATGCCTACCTGTAGACTTGGTACTTAAAAAAATATATAAAATTATAAGAATGATAGCGAAGTCCATAAAAGACATTCAGATGCTTAAGTCATTCTACAAAGAGAATCAGCAGGACACCAAGAATTGAATTCAACCAAAAGAAACATACAGGACATTAAATGCCAAAGTTTAACCTCCATTATGAAGTTTTTTTCTCACATTTGGAATTTAAAACAAAACAAATCCAAAAGACTCTTCCATTTCTGACAAGCTTTGCTTTGGAATAAATTACTAAGCAATCATTTTAATGTCCCTTCAAAAACATTTACCCATGGGAACATTAAAGTAACTTATAGGCAAAGAGGGCTGTATTAAACACACTTGAAGCTACTGTTGAAAGCTGGGTTAAGCCTGTGTAATTCATGAGTTATCAGTTTGGTCTTGACTGATTTCCCCATAGAAGCCTAATGAAAACAAGTATAAGGCTTGGAAGAGGGAATTTGAAAGCCAGCAGAAGTTTTGAACAAAAGCAGATCATGGCAGATATTTTAGAAGCAAGCGTATGAAACAGCCAGAACATTTCTGAGGGTGAGAGGCAGGTAACAAGGAGTCTTGGTGGTGCTTAGATACCCATACACACGAGCTAGTGCTGAAAAACAGTGTTCAGAAACTTCTGAATAGATACAGAGTGGAAGTCACTTGGGTGTTAAAATTAAGATTCTATGTTACAGTCTCCTCCAGTGACTGGAGAGGCTCATCTATGCAAGGTGTTTGCTGAGGTGACACGTGAGGATTGGAACTTAGAAGACCCGTGAGAGACATTATGCAGAGCACTCCTGGTTTTGAGGGTGGGTCACTAAGGGCCTGGCACACTGAGGGATGTAAGGGAGAATTCACTGCACCCCTGGGGGGAGAGATTACTGGGGCTGCACAAGGGAGATGGTACTGTGCTGTGGCACCATGGGCACACGTGTACCGAGCAAGTGCTTCCACTATCCCAAGTCCTCAAAATTGCCAGATTACAGGATATAAAGGGCAGCACTCCTCCCATGGGAACTTTAAGGTTATGCTGTGGGCATACAAGATGCATCACTTTGTACCAAACAGATGTAATAAAGAAATGAAGGTTTGCATTTTAGTGTGTATGAGAAAGCTATACTTCCATGGGTAGCTGCACAGTGTACTGGCTAACACAGAGTTAATCATTTGACTGAACATCTAAGTAGGTCGATTTATTTTGAAATATTTGCTTGTGCATTTTTAATTGATTATTGTTCTGAAAGCACTTGACATTTTCCATTGTTATCAGCCATTATGACTTCAAAATCAATTTTCAGTGTATTAGTGTCCAAGACAGATGTTAGTTAGTTTTCACTTGTTAGACAACTGCATTTAAACTGATTGCGCAACTACTGGAACATGAGGTAATTGGCAAATTAAAAATTCCACTAGATTAAAAAACTCTGAAGTTTACTTTCAACAGAATATTCATGCCAACTAAACTCAAGTGCCACAAATATTCATAGAAAACAACAAAATCAGGCAGTCACACTTCACTAAATCTGTTCATGAAAAGTTATTTGTGCTAACTTCTCTAGTTAACTTCTTAAAAAACTGAGATGGCATTAGGATTGGGCACTTGGGGAAGAAAGAAGAAGGTTCAGTGCATCGAGTACCTTAAAGTGCAGAAGGAACATCACAGACCACAACAATAGGCTTAAGGGAGCACAGTAAGTGACTGACAGCAAACTACTGTCAATGAGAATTTACAAGCTGCCAGAAGGACACACTAAAGAAGGTGCATGCAAGCAAGAAAATGTCCTGCAGTACTTATCTCTGTGTAAACATTTCTTGCACTGTCATCTTCCTACACTGATGGCAAACCAACTCATTTTGTCTTAGACTTCAACCTTGTTCTGAATTATCTACTCTGTAAATCAGTCAATTGCCATTTATGTTCATAAAAATTTACCTTACAGTAATAAATTCATTACTAGAAAGTTATAATTGACTAGGAACAGAAGGCAGAAAATAGTTTCAAACTTCAAGGCCTCTCATGTAATTATGTCCAGTAATTCTCAATTGCAAATAGCCATACCAAAATGAACAAATGCCACTCCAGCTCTCAGCACATTTAAAATGGACAATATCAACTTGTTCAGGTTCAAAATATGACCTACCTTAAAAAAGTAAAAATCTGGAGGGGCATGTCCTCTAAATTCTAAATATCTAGTTAAAAAAACAAACAAATCCATTTCTCATTGCCAAACAATAAAGAAATATAAGATTGATTTGTGATCTTCTGCAGACAGGCCACCACTTTGCAATGTACACATACAAGTTCATAAGTAATTAAATCACATTAACACCAAACTCTGTTGTTTTTGAAAAAGAATATGACGTTTGTGTTCTGCTAATGTGAGATCACAATTAATTAGTGAAAAGTCCTCCTAAGCAATACTGAAATAAAATCATTCAAAAGGTAGGACAAATGATTTGATCTAAGTTTGGTAGATTCAGATAATACTGATAATGACAGTTATCCAGCAAGAGCAGCACAAATATCAAGGATAATACTCCTGACTTACTTCCCACTCTGAGATAAGGAAGAAACAAAAACATTGCAGCATATTCTCCAGATGTGACAGCACCACATTGGTATTAACATCTCATACAATACAATCTCACAATTAGTACTTGTATGGAGATGTTGCAGAGAACACAATTAATTAATGACAAGGATTCTGACACTGTATCACAATTTCATCTAAAGTAATTCAGGAGGTAAACATGTTCACTTGTGCTGTGCTTCCACGCCCGCTCTCCATATGTAAACACAGAACAAGGACTACAGTAGTTAGTTTAGTAAACAATGAGTAATAGCGAACATTAAAATAAAAATTACAAAAATCTGAAATAACCCTTTGCTGTGCAGAACACACCATGACTATTAACACTAACAATATTATGCCATGTATGACAAAGAAAGTAGTTGTCAGAACTGAAGAGAAACATTTATCTTTGTAAAATTTCAGCCAAATCCAAAGATGACAATTAGCAATACATGCTATTACTGTACAAGGAAGCTATCTGAATTTCTACTGTCACAAGCAAATTGAACTAGGCTGACATTACATGAATATAGAGTTGGAAGCCAAGATATGTTTATAATGTATTGAATACTTTCATCTTTTTCAATCAATTTCCTCCTTAATTTCCTAGATTAGACTGATGTAGAATACAATATTATATACTCATTTCTTCTACTTACATAACTACCAGTGATGGCATTATCCTCTTCATGGCATACTTCTGCACATTGTATGTTATTTTAGTATATATAGCAGAAAAAAAGCAAATATTTTTTTGCAATGAAGAAAACTACATGCTCAAGTTTTACATTCAGAATAAACAAATCACTGAACGTTATAACAGACAACGCCGTTCAACGTTCTATTATGGCTGTCTTAACTCATAGTTGGCTAATACTGGTTATCCTTAAGAACCACACATGCTACCACTAACCTTTATAGCCCATATGGACTGCTCCAAAGGATGAAAAAGTTTGAAACAAAAGCCATCTTTTTTAGAAGGTCTCTCAATGAGTTCACAAGCATTCAGGAGCACTGTTCCCACCCACTGGCCATTCTTGGGTGTTTTGTAAACAAGCAACACTCCTGGTTTCAGTACACACCACAGTTTGGTCCAGCTTTTCAAGGTACCCCGAATCTAGAAGACAAACAGTTACAGTTACATTCCAGTGAACTCAGTACAAAAATCATCCCCTTCAACAAAACAGAAATCAAAATTAGAAATATTTATTAGTGGTTTTTTTATTCCAATAAAACAAAAAGTCTATTCAAGTTCATCCATGTTTATCAAATATAGTAAAAAAGCATAATTTAAGTGTTCATTCTTTTACTCTGTCTTGACAAGTACTTATTTTACAGAAGAATATACACACATCAAGATATGTGAAATGTGGATAGTCATCTGAAACTTCATGAATCGTTTTATTTGGAACACATTTTATCACTATTATGTAGGCAGGATAATCTTAGGAAACATAGTTCTTCTGAAAACAGGACAGACATCTGATGAGAAAAATAGGATATTAACAAAATAAATTATTTAAATTTGATCTAAATTTCTCACGAGGAGCTGCTAATTTCAACCCATATGTGCAATATAAGACCCTTTCAAGTCCCTGAATTCTGCACATCTGATTAAACTGCCTGCGTCATTTAATCAAATCTGGATTTGGGTTCTTCTGTCCGTAGGACTAAATGCCAAAACAACATGTAAGCAATGTTTTAACCTGTTTACATTGATTTTGCAAAACACTGAGAAACTTCTCCTAGACAAGCTATTGTTTGGAGCTAAATATAAAAACAGGATTTCCAAGTAGTATATTACATGTTCAAGGCATTATGATGCTGACTGTCATCTTTAATAAATTCATTTCTCACTTTCTGTACAGGTATTAGTGGACAGTTAGTCCTTCAGAAAGGAAAGGAAAATTACCAGAAAGAAACACAAACAAATATATTCATATACCTAACATGACCAAACTACTTTCACAGCTGGTAACAAACATAACAGAGATTCAATTCAAAGTGCAAAATAAAAAGGACAAGATCGGAATAATAAAGCCAACTCATGTGAAGCTAACAGCTGCACATACAAGATGCATATGACCATGGTGAGTGCAATAAGTGGGAGCTAGGTTCCTCCATTATTCCCCTAGGAAGCGAGCTCAGAGTCACAATTAGTATCTGTTGTTTGTAGAAAAACATTAACAGCAACTTCAGTTGCTGAGTCTTTTCTATTCTGGTCAGAAAGCAGTCAGCAGCGGCTAAATCTTCAACTTAGATCTCACATTTAGATTCTGACCTTCAGCCAATCAGCCATAACAATAACTGATGGGTCTGTGATTGTGCTGAGCAATTCTTTCGTAGCTCTCTTCTTTTCCTCTCTGTAATTTTTCTTTTGAACCTGTAAATAATAATAAAAATATTTATAATGCCAAAGGAAAAAGCAAGTAATCACAGCACAAAAAGCCATCTACTAATACAAACTGAGGTAAAACCTGCTAAATTTAATTTGCAAGAAAGATGGAGATAAGCAGTTTTTAAAAAGTATTTGAATCCAAGGTCTAAACAACCATTCCATATAGTTTCAAAAGCTGCTACCAACATAACAACTTCACACTCTTCTGCAATTTGTTTTTAATACTGAGAACTGTGAAACTCCTCTTAGAATCATGGAGTGAGATGAGATGGAATGAACAAACAAAAATACTCTTCCTTTACAGATGTATGGTACAAAATCAAATTTAGGGCTAGATTCGGATTTTTATTGGCACTTTATGTGATCAATTTTTATCCGTCTCTCACTTTTCCTCCCAGCAAAAATTCAAAGTAATATATATTTTTCTTTTAGTGGCAAATAATGTTTTGTTTCCCCTGACATGGTATTTAACAAACAGAGGAAGTTTAGTCTTGTTACAATGGAGAGGTAAGAAGTCAGTAAATAAAAGAACACTGGTAAAGCATGCAAACCATAGCTTTGTTATTTCACTTTGTCTTTTCATCACAGGTGTACGTCCTGAGGTCCTTGCCAAGTTGAATTATCCTATAAGCTTCTCAGTTATCCTATAATCTTATGTATTCTCAAAGACTACATTATGAAAGCCCATACTTCGTAACAGTACAGTAAGACTTGAAAACCCAAAAGAACCAGCAATATTAATTCTCACAGAACTCAGATATTCCACAGAAGTCTCCTCACTGATTGGCATTTCTCTCCTTATCAGAAGAACGTGATAAAACTTTGTGCATGTTTATAGTCCATGAGAAGTTTTTAGACAGTAATTCACCTTGAGAGATTCCTTTTTGGTAAGTTTGCTTGAAGATAAAGAGATGTCTTTCTCAGAGCCATTGAAAAGCTTGGATTCAGACTGAAATTAACAAAACACAGAATAAATACATGATAATAGATATGAGGCCATATTACTGTTTCAGTGTTTGAAGTGTACAGCTGTGTATCCAAACTCCCCATTCCCATTCTTTTTTCTGCTGTTTATCCCACTTAGTAAAACAAGGCTTGTAACAGTAACATTCATCACTTATGGAGTCTTTTCTTCATAAGGCTTTTGTGAGGAACAAGTCTGAGATTCCTCCAGAAGTTGAAGTAAATACAGTAAATATTTAGGCTATGTATTCTGTTGGTTCAGATGTCACAGTCTCGACTAGGTAGGCATTAATTCAGCAGAGAAAGAAGGTTTCAGGAGAATCCTGGTATTTAAACTCAAGAGTCATTCCTGTGTCTGACATGTGAATCTCAACGTTTTCCTAACTTTGCAGTTCCTCCAAATGGATTGCTATAGAGGCACTTACCCCATGACCCATGAAGGAAAACAGAGCCTCTTCAACCTAGAATTCAATGCTCTGCAAGTTACCAGAGTACTACTGACCACTGCTGGCACTTGTTCTTCTGCTTCCTCCCTAATGCCACGCTCTCGTTACTCTGCAAATAATCTCAGAGAAGCTCACCATGGCAATAGGCAAGAGACAACTCAGGTTTGTTTATAAAACCCAAGTCCTCATTCATGGCAGGACAATATGCTGCCTCAGCACCACGTGATTTCTGTCACTCCCCCCACCTCCCGTGAGGTTCAAAGTTTACTTCTTGGCATCTATTGCCTACTAATTGTAAGGGAACTAGAACCACCAAAGATTCACCCTGGGTTACAGAGCTCTTTTTGTAAAACAAGAAGAGTACACTGAGTTATCACACACCATTCCTATTCTATCTCAAGAGAACACTGTATGGGCACCCCACTGTATAAAAATATCAGATAAATTACATAGTTGTATTTCTTTGTGCAAGGAAATATAAACTGGACTGCCAAAAACACACGTGCAACAAATGGCAAAAAAGTAATTTTAAAACAAAATCATTTCAGCGGTCAGTAAGCGTTCCTTAACTTTCATGTACATCTCGCAAAAAGGAAAGTTATCTTTTCATTTTGTATTAAAGCTATGTCCTTAACACTGAAAATATAAGACAAGCATGCATCCTGAAATTTAATTCCAGCCTAGGAATAAAATGAAAGATGGTACTTTAAAGGTAATAACAAGAGAAAGGAAAAATGCTTATCACTGTCACATAAGAGGTAATGAACTCATTATGCAAGGTATAATGGAGTAATGCAAGTAAAACATTCATAAATATTCCAGTTGCTCACTAGCAGAAAGCTAATGCAATCTAAAGTCCACACATAATAAAGCCCAAACCAGTAAATATCCCAGGTTACAAAGACTCATTTTCTCAGTTATAAAGTTCACCAACATGACACTGAGTGAAAGTCTGTATTTGCCTATCCAACAGATTATGGATAGATCAGTGACAAGGATATTTTTAATTTAATTATCTTCTCATCTGCATGTGGGGGGATAGGATCAAAATTTACAAGAAAAAACCTTTTTAGTTAGAAACGAGGAGTGCTACTTCACCTCCATAGCTGGGACAGCCAGTAACCATGTTCTGCTAGCCTGAAGCTTATTGGTGGGGTATAAAGGAACTACTGGTCTTAACAAGCTCCATTGCAAAAATAAGGATAAAAAACTATATATATTAAGAGAAGTAGGAATATCTGTCTCCTCTTTAATAGCAAAATATCACAAAAGGAACTTATGATTCTGGAAATAAAAAAGAACCCGCGCCCCCCCCCAAAAAAGTAGAAGGAAGAGAAAAAACAAATTGGTTAGTCAGAGATAAATTATTAATAGAGTCAGAAATTCATCTGGGTTAAAACAGACAGTGCTAACTTATTTCCAAGACAAAAAACAGTTAGAGGTTTCTGGACCAATAAAAAATACTTTGACCAGAAATAAGCCAGATGACTAAGTATGCTTCCTTGATCTCCCTCATCAGGATATGTTAAAGCTTACAGACATAGTTCTCTGACTTCAGATTAGGTGGAAGACAGTGACTCCAGGGGTTGCTCAGCTGTGACATCATGGAATTGTACCAGTCACAGAAACTGACCTGCTCTTCCAGAATGCAATTCTGAACACACCATTTAAGTAGGGGATGTTACCATAATCTTTACATCAGTTTGATTTTGTTCAGCACCTGTTTGATGTTTCTCTTGAAGACTCAGACATATGAAACACTGCAGAAAAACTTCTATGAAGGCCTGGAGGGCACTCCCCCTCTCCTCTGGCCGAGGCTGCCTGTGCCTGGGGCAGCCTGGGGAACCTTGGATCAGAATGCTGAGAGGAGAGCTGTGTAGGAGCTGTTCCTCACCTCACCAGGAGATAGATGTACAGGAGCTTGGTTCCCAGCCCTGGTTCCAGCCCAAACCAGCTTACAGCTGTGCCTAGTTGTACACCTAACAGACCCAGCAGCCGACTCATGCATTTCAGCCCCCAACTTGGCTTTGAATCTACCTGTTCCCACAGATTGGTGCTGTAAGCTGAGCCTGGTCTGCACTACCAGCCTCACTCTCCTCATCCTGTCTGTTTGTGGTAGCACCGAGCTCCTGGCCGCTGCCCTCCCCATAAAGCCACGTAATGGGATCATTTAAAGATCTGAAATCTAGCTAGTGGTGATGCTTACATAAGAAAAGCAATTTAACATAGCTACTCAATTCAGCAATCAAACCATACAGAACTTTCTCCTCCACAAAATGGCATCTTTCTGCTCTTTAAAGTTTTGATGAGAAGAAGACATCTGTTTTATAAGACACCCAATTAAAATTATTTTTCTGGAATTCCACATTCTGAGTATATATAGACCACTAGATGAAAATGTAGTGCTTTGACAAGTCAGGCACTCTAAGAGTTACAATAACACAATTTTTAAAGAAAGTAGCATCAGAACAGCCTATACAATGTCTTAAAATGTAAAGCTTCTCTAACTGTTATAGACAGATTTAAAACGACTTAAGAAAGGAATAAATAAGGAAGATTTTTCTCTGCATTACTATGACTTTTTACAAATGGTTCATACTACATCAGGACCAACAGAAAAGAGCATTTTATTCTGAATGCTAATGCTACTGCAAAGCGTTCATGTAGATAAACTTGATAAGAACAAAACAAAACTCTGCAAAGAAGAAAAAATGGGATCACTACACAACAACAGACTTTCTGATTGCTGAAGCAGTTGAAGTTTTCTTCTTCTTTAAACTTCAGCCATCTCAATATGCCATATTTTTGGTGACTGCTGTCTCTCAACTCGGTGCATTCTCATTTTTCACTGCATCTCAGTGAACCTTTTTCACAGAGACAAAAAAGGTTCTACCATCAGTGTAATACGATGATTATGAATTTGAATGAAAGTCTAATACATTTGTTAAAGCAGGGACTCAACTCCTTTGCATGCTGGCATTTTTAAGCCAGGCAGAGACAACTTTCCTTACCTTGCTTTTGGACATAGAATGTGCTGTATCCTCTTTGCTTTGTGAGGCATCATCCTTCCCTTTGTCAAAACCTTAAAGAAAAGACAGCATTGTTGCACATGATTTGAATGCACTAACTTTAACACAAGCTAGTCTTTGAAATAAACTTGCAAATAGTATTTACCATTGAAAAGTGCAAGCAAACCAGATTTTCAAACAGCTCATATATATTAGTTCATCATGTAAGTTGAAAATCAGTTACCACAGCATAGTCTAATTTAATACCTGCTAAGAAGTGAGAACAGTCCACTGTATTTGGATGGTGCTGCACCAATTCAGAGATCTAACCAACTGAAAACATGATCAGCAAATTTTCATCCTTTTATGTCCTCAGCCTCCCCTGTCTGCATACACAGGCATGAACACAGCAGAACACTAAGAAAAGCTGGGATTGGTTTGTTCATTTCTTTAGCCAGAAATAATGATTAAAATCCATACAATTGAAAGCAAATAGATAATGGGTTAAGATTGCCAGTCAATTACTCACAAGTACATGAAAAGATGGCCCACATTTGCCTTGAATTTATACTTTGGATTTCACATTGCACAGATGTAACTACATGGCTTTATATTAAGTCACCAAAATTCTATATTTATCTTCTGTGAATGATGCATAATGTGAACTCCACATTTTCACAGTATCCAAAGAGCAAAGTGAGCCAACATCTTAGTGATTTGCTTTCTTTGAAGAAGCTGACTCTAGCATAGGCACTTATAAATGCGAATAAAATAAATACCTCAATGCATTTATTTTAGTTATAATGCCATCACTGACATGCCCTCCAGACATAAGGGCATAAGTGAATATCAGGAAAAAAGAAAACACCAAAAAACAATGGCAAAAAGCGTGTTCAGGAAACGTTTATATGCTGTACTGAGGGACATGGTTTAGTGGTCAAATATTGGTGGTGGGTAGATGGTTGGACTGGATGATCCTGGAGGTCCTTTCCAACCTTGGTGATTTTATGGTTCTATGACATTGCCTTGCCACCCGGCCCACCAGAGGGCACCAGACCCACGGAGAAACGGCAGATGGACGGACAGACAGATGCTACTTTGAGCCCCTGCTACAATTCAGCCCAGTGTTCTGCCACAGAAATGGGTACTCATGCCCCTGACGTGACATCGTTGATCAAAGAAACAGTGTGACTTCAAGTTCTTCAGTGAGTGTGTGCAATGTGTGTGTAGGCTTTGTAAGGTTTAAAAGAACTTTTATCAAGTCTCTGCAGCTGTGTTTTTTGTTTAATGTGGGATTTTATTTTTTCTTTTTAAGAGTAGTATCTTCACCTTTCTACAACTTACGCTAAACCCAGAAGTTTAAAACAGCACTGATTCATCTATCACAAAAACACATCTTGGGAAGTTTCTCTGAGTTATGAGACATTAGGACAATCTTCAGGCTCTGCGAGGAATCCAAGATTCCTGCTTTGCTTCAGTAGCCCTATTTTTTTTCTTCTTGTTTTCTACTTTATTACCTTTTGTAGGGATTCAGTTTGAAGATCAGATTTTAAAAAAATACGCACTGCAATGCATTTCATTTTGTGTCTACCCAAATAAAACTTCACACATCTTTACAGAAGCCTTTCTGCAGACAGTTCATTAAACCCTTCCTTATGAAATTCTCCTAACACATCTGTGAGGGATTTGTTCAGTTAAAAAAAAAGACATAATGACATAATGCAGCAGGCTGCTTGACCTCAGAGAAGAAGCACCTAGACATGCAGAAGATTTGTAGTTCTAAGCAATGCGGCAAATAAAAAAAAAATAAATAAATAAAATCACCACCAATAGACTGATCAGAATCCAGAAGTTGGAAGCCACAGTGCTGGAAGAAAACAAAGGTGACCTCAAGTCTTAGAGGACAGACTTAAGTTCAGTGAGAAGTTATTAAACTTGATGCCAGTCTTAGACAGTCAAACAGCGCTACAATCACAGTAACGATGTCTCTCCTTCATCCCACAGGCAAAAGCAGTCACCAGTTAGGAACTAAGTTCTGCTGAAAAGGTAATGCAGGGATATTTTAATCACTTTCTGTGTTTCATTTATCTATTTAAACACAGACATAAAAGTGATGGGAATTACCAAGGAAGTGCTACATCAGGGTTGGGATTACAGAAGAGAAGCTCTCTTTCTAAAGCACAACAGCTTTAAGGACTTTCAGGACTTTGCACATCCTTATCTAACATGCACATTTTTATTTTCATATACAAGCTTTGCATCGGTATCACCAAGCACAAATAAAGCAAGAAGGAGTTCTCTATACCCAGAGTGTCAGACAAAGATCAAAGCTGTCTTTCTTAATTGCACCTTCTCGCTTCCAGAGCTTCCTGCCCGAGAGGTGCATACGTTTGCTGCTTTACAATATGTCACTGCACTCCCTCTCTTAGTCACACAAACAGCAAAATGATGGCTGGAGGGCTTGCTAGTGAATCCAGCTGCTGAAATCACAGCACTGCAGGCTCTAGGTCACTTTACAGTACATTGTCTTAGTTTATGACAAAAAGCCAAGCAGTCAGATCCATATCCTGTGCTATCCTTGTTGCTCCCCTCTCAGTGGAAGGAATGAGCCAACACAGACTAGACAGAAGGCCCTTCTGCCATAAGACAACACAAATGACTTAAAAAAAAAAAAAAAAAAAAAAAAAAAAAAGCATTATTCAGGTGCTACCCCAGACACAGCCTTCCTCAGTGCATCTTTATTAAGATGAGGGGAATGCATGTACAGTCATTATCATGGAATGATTTGACTTGGAAGGGAACTTAAAGGCCATCCAGTTCCACGCCCTTGCCATGGGCAGCATTGCCAGCCAGTGGATCAGCCTCCCCAGGGCCCCATCCAACTTGGCCTTGAGTGCCTCCAGGGATAGGACATCCACAGCTTCTCTAGGCAGCCTGTGCCACTGCCTTACCACCCTAACAGCCAAGAATTTCTTCCCTATATCTAGTCCCAATCTGCCCTCTTTTAGTTTAAAACCATTACCTCTTGTCCCATTCCTACATGACCTTGCAAATGTCCCATCCCAGCTTTCCTGTAGGCCCTTTCTTTATTTAGGTCCTGAAAGGCTGCAATAAGGTCTCCCCAGAGCCTTCTCCTCTCCAGGCTGAACAAGCCCAGCTGCCTCAGACTGGAGAGGTGTTCCAGGCCCTGAGTAGTCCTGATTCTTCTGACATTAGTGTGAGACTAATACCTTAGGGGAGATTTGTACTGAAACATCACCAAAAGCTACGTATGAGTCCTAACTGAGGACAATATACACTCTGCCACAGAAATATTTGGTCATCACCATCAAAACAATTATATGCATAGAATCAGAAATAAGATACAGTTTTCTCCCCTCCTGATAGCATTTATGAGCTACAAGTTTCTCTACGGATTCCTATTTAAACTCCTGAGAGCAATCTTCAGGTAAAACTGCCAGGGGAAAGCAAGCAAATGTAGTCTGAATCAGCCTTCAAAGCTGCAGACTGAGCACCCAATATTTTTCAAGGCACTTGCAGTTGTATTTCTTTTAATCTTAAGTTTCTCTGCTGTAGCCTCTAAAGCAGTTTTGGATAGTAGAAACCATATCCAGAGCAACACCATCTTAACAAATTTCTCCAATTGCAAGCTTTGTTTTGTTTACATCACAGGCCCCATACTCTGAAAGTTGATCCAAAACCAAGCAAGCTACAGTTCATGATCTGATCTTAGACTCCAAGGGAACCTTTCCAGGACTACATTCCTATTGAGGGCACATGTCAAGTCCAGATGAAAACTCACACTGAACTTTCAGAAAGACCTACCTACACACAGAGTTTGAACAACCAGAACTTCATACATGTAAGCTGTCCTCACAACAAAACTGACCAGTAATTGGCAGGGGGGCTGGAACTAGGTAATCTTTAAGGTTCCTGCTTATCTGAACCGTTCTATGATTCTGGAACTCTTCAGAGACTGAGCTAGAGCACAGTGTCAACTCTAAAAGAAAAAAAAATCTTCCAAAATATCATCCTTGACAAAAATTAATGAGTCGGAATAATGTGAGATTAGTGTTCAAGAATCTTTAGTATGAAGCCTGTAGTAGGGTACAATTAAAACAAACGTGTTTGTTTAAGATACTTCAGTTTTGAAGCACAGCATGTGTTGGTTGTTTGAAGTCATGCCTACAATCTGTCCCTCAATCAATCTTGAGCGAAGAAGCAGCAGAACAACCATGCAACATCTTCTGCATTTCAAGTACTGGTATTGTGTCTCTCAACAATTATCGTCTACAATTAAGATACTTTAGTGAGAAAGAAAAAAAAAAATGTTACTTTTTAATACTATTTTATTCAAAATCTAAGAAAAAATAACTACTGACTGAAGGGTTGTTTGTTTGATGTTTATTTTTGTTCCCAACAGCCCAAAGAACAAGCAAAAAGAAGTAACAGAATGCATAAAAAGATCATGAACAGCAAGCCAAGCAACAATATTACTGACTTGCAAATGAAAAGCAAAAAACAGACTGATTTGATTACCGGCATGAATGTGCAGTTCTGAAAAAAGTTACTGAGCTGAAAATGGATATGCTTCTACAAGGACAAAGAGAGTTATAATCTGTGGGAGACAGAAGTACTCGTGTTATTTAACGAACAAGACAGAAAAAAAGGCAAGAGTCTTTTAAGATTCAAACATCAGAGACAACACCGTTTTTGACTGAGTGATTTTCAGCTTGTTGACAAACACTTTTAAGAATACTATTCCATATTATCTAATTCATTTTGAAGGTAGGGAGGTTCTGCCTATCTGCTAACTCCATGCTCTCCAGGTTTGACATCTGAGCAGCTTTAACAAGGTTCCTGTTAGAAGACTGCCCACTTCCTGATGCAGATGGAAAGGATATTTTCTATGGTAAAACAGGAGGGCTACCAGGAGGGCTAACAGAACATGGTGTTCTGAGGAAGCACCCAGCTGCCAGCAGCTGAGCATGCCGCTCCAGCAATTCTGCAAGCCACTGTGAGCCAGTGGTGCGGGGAGCTCAGAAATCAGCAACCCACAGCCACCCGCATGCTC